AGACATGAAGCAGCCCCATGTCATGTAACTGATTTGAGAACCAAAACAATTATTTCCCCATACAGTAGAACATTTAAGACACAATTTACATTTGTTCCAGAGTGAGTGGGTGAGTGGGTGAGTGGGTGAGTGAGTGAGTGAGTGAGTGAGTGAGTGAGTGAGTGAAGAGTGAGTGAGTGAGTGAGAGTCGGTGGGTGCGTTGGTGGGTGGGTGGTTGAGTGAGTGAGTGGGTGTTTGAGTGAGTGAGTGAGTGAGTGAGTGAGTAATACCACTTTGAACAGTATTCCAGTTATATCACGGAATGTCAGCTTAAGTGGGAGGAAAGACCGAAGTGATGCAGGTCTAAGACATTTACCACTTTGGTGAAACCCACGAGCACGGGTATGGTGCTGACAAACCTAGAAACATAATCAGGGCGAACCGGAATTAGAACCCACAATCATAGGTTTCTGGATTCTAATTTTGTGACGGTTAGTTAAATCAGCACTAAACAGATTTCTGTACCATCATGCCATGTCAGGGCAATGTTGGTGGGAAGCCTGAGTGATGCATGTTACGTTATCATCACTGTGATGAGACAACAGACAACTGATCCTGGGACATCAAAGGGACACAACACTGCATGACCCCTGTGTCTGCTGTACCTGTGAGGTGAGTCTCCGGATCATGATGATGGGGTCGGCGCTGATGGAGGATGGGGAGCCCACAAAGTGGAACAACACCAGCGTGCCCGGACACTTCTCCTGCTGCAGCTGAATCCTGCAATACAGTCATCTTGATTGACAGGAGCTCCTTGGATTAAGGTAAGGTAAAAGGGGGATTTAACATTATTTCAGATTATTGCACTTATATAGCAATGTGCATGAGTATGTGTGGCTGCTTGTACTAGTCTGGACTCGATTTTATAGCGCTAGCCGATTGAGATACAATGCCGCATTTTAACATGGATACCCCACTCAGACACAGCATACTGAGTCCTTGTTTTATCATCCTAATGCTATGTGCCAGGTAGGGTGACAACAAGCACCTTTTCGCATCTCATAATGTTCATGATAAACTCTAATACCTGCATAATTAAATCCTATGCCCTATCAAGAGCATAACTAATGAGCCACGTGTTGTGAGGCCCTTCTGATGGAGACTGGTTCCCGTGTGTATTTGCATTGCATCACTTTTATCGTTTGTAAATGACAGATATTTATTTCACAGGTATCTTTCTGCAATGGCTAGACATGTTTATGGCAACACCAGCACAGTTTTGACTTCACTGGTTTCTGTCATCAGTGAAAATTCAAACTGGCTGGGGTGGGGGGGGGCAGTGTCTTGCTACCTTTCACTAACACTACTCAACAGCAGAGATTACTGGTCCTCACTTCATTTCATTGTTGTATTTTTTCCAATAATGAACATACCGGTACTTTAAAGTGAGAAAGAGGTCTGAAACTAGAACGACAAACACTGCAATACATCCAGAAACAGTCGGGGGCACGGGTAGCCCAGTTGACTTAGGCGCCACGATTCGCTGTGCAGAGTTGCGTCCCTTGGGCAAGCCAGAAACCTATGATTGTGGGTTCAAATCCTGGTTCGCCCCGATTATTTTTCTAGGTTTGTCAGCACCATACCCGTGCTCGTGGGTTTCACCGAAGTGGTAAACGTTTGAGACCTGCATCACTTCGGGCTTTCCTCCCACATTAAGCTGACACGTCGCGATATAACTGGAATACTGTTAAAAGCGGCGTTAAACCCAACTCACTCACTCACTGAACTGTCTGAGCTCAACCACTGAAAGTATGTAGTCCATTTCGCCATGTCGTTTTCAACACCAATATTCTTGCTTTCATAACTTATCCATACCCCCAAAGAAGTTGTTTAACTTCGTCTGTGCTATGGAGGCTGATCCCCACGCAGAAAGTAACAGTAGTGTAGAACGTAGTACTATAGTGAATGTGATTGGTTCACACATTGGATTACATCCAATCAAATTACTGTTTACAAATGCTATAGGAACATTACAAAACTGTTCTGAGCACATATTTAAACAAAGCCCAGTAACTGTGATTAGGTATCAGATAGGGAAAACAGCAAATTTAGAGATTTGTTTGGCGCATTCTTCGTATCGCATGTTTGAATTATAAAGTTAAAAATGAGCTACCAGACAGGCAGAATGGGGGTTTGAAAGATTACTGGCCCCCCCTAGAAAACTACTGGCCACAGGACAGGTATTTTGATCACTGGTCTCTGTTGGGACTGACCACTGTTTTGACCACCACACTCAGGCCAGTACAACCCTGTAGTGAGTGAATGTTATTTTGCACCATAGTCAAGAGTATCAGCTGTATACTGGCAGCTTGTAAACAATGAATACTGACCACTTTGAGAGGAGGAGTGACCGTCCTGACCCGGAGCCCCCGGTCACCAGCAGTGGGGGCAGAGGTCCGGCTGCAGACACGTGGGCGTTCAGCCTCTCGTAGTACTGCAACATCACAACAGCTGTCACAAATAGTTGCCGTAAAACTAATGGAATCAAAGTGTATTTGAGTCAACTTGTTAATCATAAACATGGCTTAAATGGATGCAAAATACTACATCCTGTACGCATACTATGGGATGCAAATAAGCATGGCACTTTGAATCATTAAATTTATTCGGGGCGGTCGGGTAGCCTAGTGGTTAAAGCATTTGCTCGTCACGCCGAAGACCTGGGTTCGATTCCTGACATGGGTACAATGTGTGAAGCCCATTTCTGGTGTCCCCCGCCGAGATATTGCTGGAATATTGCTAAAAGCGGCGTAAAACCATACTCACTCACTCACTCACTCACTCACTCACTCTTACTATTACTATGTATTACTCTTGCTATTACTATATATTACTATTACTATTACTATATATTACTATTACTACAAGTTACTATTACTATATATTACTATTACTATATATTACTATTACTACAAATTACCATTACTATTACTACATATTACTATTACTATATATAAACTATTACTATTACAGTCATAGGTTGCTACTATTACTATATATTACTATTACTATATATTACTTTTACTATTACTATATATTACTATTACAATCATAGGTTGCTACTGTTACTATATATTACTATTACTATATTTTACTATTACTATTACTATATATTACTATTACAGTCATAGGTTGTTACTATTACTACTACTATTACTATTACAGTCATAGATTGCTGGGGAACAACAATTACCCATGGGGACACATTGGATTTTAGGAATGGTATTCACAAACCATTGGCAAGTACACAATCACATCTAGTCAAGGAGAGCAAAGGAATTGTTTCATATAAATGAAATACAACCTACCCTTTCAAAACCCAGTTCACAGCTGGAGTGAACAGCATAGCCGAGAGCCTCCATCTGTTCATAGTCGTAGTGGACGTCCCACACCACACCCTCAAACAGCTCAGGGACGTCGGTCGTCAGTTCCTCCGCTTCTGTCTTCTCTCGCAGACTTACCCCTAGCTCCTGTAATGAGTGAGTGAGTGAGTGAGTTGGGTTTAACGCCGCTTTTAACATTATTCCAGTTATATCGCGGCGTGTCAGCTTAATGTGGGGGGAAAGCCCGAAGTGATGCAGGTCTCAGACGTTTACCACTTCGGTGAAACCCACGAGCACGGGTATGGTGCTGACAAACCTAGAAACATCATCGGGGCGAACCGGGATTTGAACCCACAATCATAGGTTTCTGGCGTGCCCAAGGGACGCAACTCTGCACAGCGAATCGCAGCGCCTTAGACGACTGGGCCACCCGTGCCCCCAGCTCCTGTAATGAACAAATCACTCCCAACATGATCTTGCTTAACCTTAGGATGGATTACAAATTGTTATTGTTTCTGTCACACCCTTCATTGTGTATATATGAGTATTATCAAGATTATAAAAAAATAAAAAATGTGTCCTATTTCAATCTGAGAAACAAGACCTTACAAGATAGCTTAACCACTTGCCTCTGTGCACAGTTTGGCAAGGAATATTGAAAAACTTGGGGAGAAGTTCAAGAAACAAACACAGCCTCTAGGTTTCCACTATTTCCATGGAAACAGCAAAGGTGTGAGAATGGTTTTACGCTTTTAGACATATTTCAGTAATATCACAGAAAGGGACGCCAGTATAAGCTTCGCACATTGTACTATTGTTCAATAATAAGCCTATTATTTCTATTCTTGTGTCATGTATATTACCATCTTGAATATCTTGACAAGTTCCGTGTATACCATCTCCGCTCCCTTACTTGGCGAGGAGTACCCTGATATGACCTTGACATTGCGACTTTCCTTGATCTTCGTCTTTATTTCTTTAACTTCACCCTGACTAGTCCTGCATCACAAAGAGAAGAAGGAAAAGTACAGGTTGTTTTACACGACCAGAGTATGTCAATCATACTGAGTTAGGACACAGCTCATTTCGGCAAAACCAGTTTAGACATAGACTGGGCTCCTGTCTACCTGAACTAGCAGAGGTGACAGCCGATTTGATTGAACAACACTAAAATAGCATTCATTGGTCCTTCAGTATTGAATGAAACAAACAGCAGACTATGTGGTTTGTTTGTGAAGTGCTCTTGACAAAACTTACATCAGCAGAACATTTCACAACTAGTGTACTGCCCCTTTTGAGAATGTGTTTAGCAGGGCGAGGAGTCATCCCACAGATGGCATCCTTACCTTGTCAACTTGCTGACGGGGTTAACCTCTTTGGTCATGTGGACAAGGCATCTGAACTTGGATCAGAAGGTCCGTGGTTCGAATCCCATTACGGGACTCAGAAACTTTATGGCCGCTACATGTGCATCGGTAATAAGGACGTTACACACGTGCACCTATACCTGACAGCTGTTAATTGTTTTGTTTGTTTGTTGTTTAACACTGCACTAAGCAATATTCCAGCTATATGACAGGGTCTGTATATAATTAAGTAGGGACCAGGCAATTTAGTGATTGACATCATGAACATCGATCCACACAATTGGGATACGATGACATGTATCAACCAAGTCAGTGAGCCTGACCACCTGATCCAGTAAGTCATCTTTTATGGCCAGCATGGGTTGCTGAAGACCTCTTCTACCCCAAATCTTCACAGGTCTAACCTGTAAGGCGACTATGGGACGAAGGCCCCAAGATGTACACTGTAACGACTTTGATCAGTCCATAAGTTTTGCTATGGTGCTGACAGCCAAAGGATCATATTCCAATGAATACTAGTACGTAATTCAGACCAACGGACCAGACTGAATGAAAATAAGGGACGTAACTCTGCAATGATTAAATCCAGTTTCTAACCTCTTGTTACCCGTTTCCCTGAAGCAGTAGACCGTTGGACGGATCTCAGTACTCTCCAGATGACCATGCTTCACCTCGAAACTTGTAAACCTGAAACATGTAAATCTGAAACTTGTAAATCTGAAACTTGTAAACCTGAAACATGTAAATCAGAGACTTGTAAACCTGAAACATGTAAATCTGAGACTTGTAAACCTGAAACATGTAAATCTGAGATTTGTAAACCTGAAACATGTAAATCAGAGACTTGTAAACCTGAAACATGTAAATCTGAGACTTGTAAACCTGAAACATGTAAATCAGAGACTTGTAAACCTGAAACATGTAAATCTGAGACTTGTAAACCTGAAACATGTAAATCTGAGACTTGTGAACCTGAAACATGTAAATCAGAGACTTGTAAACCTGAAACATGTAAATCTGAGACTTGTAAACCTGAAACATGTAAATCTGAAACTTGTAAACCTGAAACATGTAAATCTGAATATACAACCAATCCTGCACATGTGGCGCAAACAGTCACATTCCATCTCATCCTACCAGGTACCCATTTACTGCTGGGTGAAAAGAGGTACATTTCAAACAAAGTGACCTGCTTCAAGAGAACCAAAGCCCTAGAAACTCTCAGGAGTCAACCTGTCAAACATGGCCAACCATCAACATACCCGCAGAAAACATTTCTGAACCGTGTGGTGCACATAGGATAAATTGACATTGTTGGGGCAGCCGTATTTTCTTTCTGAGACTTAAACCACAGCGGTCAGGAACCAATAAGAATTGCAGAATATGAAAAACAGGATGAAAAGTAACGAAGTCAGTACCGGGTACTTCTTTTCCGCGGCTGTCATGACTGTATGATCAAATGTTGCCGGGTTGAATTTGTCAGTAATGGATTAAAGTCTCACATAGTTATCAGATCAATCATGATTAGATAAGCATGTAGTCCAAATCAGTATGATAAAGACACTTTTGGATCAAAATGGAAACCAACATATCCTTTTAACATTAATACACATCATACAGAATGATCAATGAATTTCTTGAAAACCATCATATTTTGGGATGAAGTTATTACAGTATTACCTATTTGTAGTGTCTCCTAGCAACACAAGAAATACAGAAGCAAGCTCAATTTGTTTCTTCCTCATCTTGATCTGTCTCTCAACCATCTGGAAGAACAACACAGAAGTATCTTAAATATGAACTGTAACTTAAAGGGCAAGTAAAGTCAATATAGGAACTTCGCAGATTATACTACTTTAGGGCATACTTAATCACAAATGCTATCATACTTACCGTATTCGACGTAATAAGCGCCCAGGGCGCTCTCAAAATTAGAAATAGGGGGCTCTTTTTAGAATTCTATTTTGGGGAGAGAAAAAAACAGAGTTGAAAGATCGTAAATTTTGTGGTTTATGCTGACAGCCTGAAATGTTTATATACGACAGATATATGTCTCCAGAATTTAATTGCCCATAATTAAGGGTGCATATAACCCACGAGTGCGTATAAATAAGTCTTGTGTACATTGATCAATCGGAAGGGGTGTTAATTGAGATTGTTCACTAGCCAATATATTAGCACAAATCGCCGTGGGCGCTTATTACGTCGAATACGGTAATCGTAAATAGCATAAAACGATGATAAAAAATGACACACGAAATCGTCCCCCAAACAAAAACTTCCTCCAGTAAGGGGATTCCCCTTCCTGGAGGTTAAAACGGTGGGTTTCCACTGCTTGAAGCACTGTGCAATTTCAACAGTAGGGCTGGCATCCACCCAGTTGCCTGGTGGTTTACTAGGACTCTTCCTGACGAAGTTGGGGATTTTACGTGCGCTTTCCAACTGTAAGCATACGTCGCACACGGTCTTCCTACTTGTCCCGCACCTATTGTTATAGGTACTAGTTCCCCCCAGCAAAGTGATGGGTAAGATAATAGGGGATTAACATGATTAACATGATTAAGGGGCGCATCTCACATAAGACAAGTAATTGGTGAATATCTCACAACATATAGCGACACAAATAATTGGTGAACTCTATTAGCATACTCTGTACTGAGTAAAAACTTTTAAAATATATATCAATGAGTGAGTGAACATATTGATCATTTAGTACAATTGGGCTCTAAAAGGAATGACAGACAAGAAACAGTATTCCACTGTGGCAAATGCACAGGTTGATTTACAGTTTATTCCCAATTTTATGAGGGGGCAGCACATGGTTTTTGATGGATACAAGTTTCTTATTAAGACTGACGACAAACTTCAATTCATTGGAAATGTTACCAAAGAGGATACCCAGCCATCATTAACACCAAAGATGACTTTGTCACGAAGCACAGTTATTTCTCTGTGAGCAGCGGGACGATGCCACAAATCCTTTTAGAGGGATGGCATCCAAATACATGTCTATGTACAAATTCATTGAGATACTGAAGGTTGAGGCAGATAATACTTCGTAATACAGGTAGTCTGGCGCCAACCAAAGAAGAAGTATCGAAATCTAGACCATGCCCATGAGAGGGAGAAGAGATAACTTCTTGCCAACAAGAAACCAGTGAACAATTATCACAATGCTGTTTCATTGAAATCCAATTACAGAACATGTGACTGGACTTGTAAATACTTTCTTCGAATATTATGATTTTTTTTCTTGGGAATTGACTCAATATAATATAAACGAGGGGTTAGTGCCAGAACCATTTTCCCTAGATGTGAGAAATCCCACTTCAAAAGTTTGAAATGGTGCTAAAAAGCACCACTTGAAGTTTTATTAGCAATATTGTTTCCAGCCATTGTCATTAAGTGTGCCAAACAGTATATCTTGTTTTTTCAACATAACATTGATATTAACATGTAATAAAGATAACCTGAAATATATACGATGTTCTGGCATATCTCTTCCCCAAAGAAATTCAGCTAGACTTTCAGCCAAAGCGAAGTAAATAAAGGCAACTCCATCTGGCAGCATAAACATTATACAGGAAAGGGGAAATGTGAGGCCCTGATCCTTGTAAACAGAAGTGATACATTGTGGCCCTGATAAATGATAACATTTCTGCTTGCGTCAAATTACCCCAAACACAGGACATACGTTTATGCTTCAGAAACTTTCTCAATGAGCAAGCCAATTAATAGCAATAACAGCTTATCTCTCGACAGCTGGTAATGGCTCAACCACAGAGTCTGCGTGACACAGAGGCGGATACCATTATCCTGGTGTAAGCTGACACTCTAAAGCATCGCTTGCTACAAACACGTGGTTATAATCACTTACCAGCTTTAACGATTATCTGGCATTGCCTAAAAGAACTAAAGTAATGTCAGTGTTGCCTTTACCAAACATTGTTCATTTTATTAAATGCTGTACATTTACATTTACATTGCATTGTTTGTTTCAAAACTAAAAAGCTAAATAGTCTGCAAAATTAAGTTAATGTCAGGCTGTAATGCTAATGAGTGTAAATGTGTTCACACAAAGTTAACGGAGAAACGTTATTCTATAAATTATAGATGAATAGAAGATCCTTTTAAAACCTTTGAGCAATTATTTGTTTATGTAAATATATATTCTTTTATAAAACAGTGGGTACATATTTAGCTTATTATCTATATACTAGTATATAATATGTAAAGAGTGATAGATAAATAGATAGACAGATCTGTACCCAACGTTCAATTTTCAAAATGGTGACATAACTCGCAGTATTCACAAAAAATATAATAATTTTTTCCAGCTGAGCTTCATTCAAAGTTAATTTATGAACATACAAATACTGCAATTCTTAAGATCAGTTTTCTCAGATTGTATTCGGATATCCATAAGACATTTTAATGTGGTTATAATCATTTTACGTTCCTAACAGTAAATGGAATTCTTAGCTTGAACATTCACGCGATTGTTGTGGCTCACTAAAAGGGAAATTAATAAAGAAGTAATGCAGTAAATTGTCAGATATAATATAGCCAGGATCAGCATTTCAGCAATGTCAGACTTCCACAAATCTGAGTCGGGTATTCATGTTTAACTGCGGCATAGTATCTCAGCGGGCTGGCACAATAATATTGACATTAGTCCGGACTAGTGCAATCACACGCACTTACGCACGCACGCGCGTACGCACACATAGCTATATTAGTGCGATAACGAACACAGCACCACAGTCACACATCATATGATGCAAAGTCTGTGTCATAGTCTTCCTCCATAGCATCTGGTCCCGGTAGACAATCAGATCTGTTACCTGTTGGGAGAGCTTTGTAGTACTCATGATACACTGGTTCTTTGTTGTCTGCAGCACACCTTTCCTTATAAAGTTCATTCATCTTTTTAATATTCAATTCTGGTCCTAAAAATTGCCTGTAGTGGGCATCCATCTTAGGAAATGACTCAATGTGTTCCCTCACTTTTGTCAAGCGATCACTGGCAGTTTTATTGTATGGCTTATGTCTACCGCGACGTTCTGTGCTCCCAAAGGTTCCCTGGCTCTTGAGCTGTAAGGCATGGCTGATGTATGACTCCCCAATGTCAAGAGTCTTCATGAAAAACTTCTTGCAAACAAGATGTCTTGTTCCTTCCCACTGTAGATTAAATGCCCGATGACTTGGCATTTCTTTTCCACCTTTTTTTCACTGTCATCCAGGTATATACGGGTTTTCTTTTAATCAGTGTTGGAACAAACAAAATCCTTTTGCCTTTCATATGATGTCAAGCTTCTAAATGATTTAAATAAACTGTGTCGAGCTTCTTCGGGGATCTTCTGGGTGCACTTATATCTACATTTTGAGCAGTCGACTGCTTTAACCGATTTTTCTTTCATGGTCTTCCCTTGCTGGTTCACATATTCCATATTCCATTCCACCTAATCTCAGGTGTTTCCTTTGATTATTTAACCATGTCTCGGGCGTCGCATGTCTCTTTCTAAACAGCACCTTTCTAGGAGGTGTATGGAAGGCTGCCGACTTTCTTGAAGTTGCAGATCGAGATGGGTTCCGTTTGTTTGGGGTTGATGCTGTTTTACCTGATGACACTGTGTCGTCACCATGCTGTGAAGATACTGGAACTGGACTTGAAGTATTTGAACTGATCACAGGACCTTCTGGCATTACATGGTTGCGTTCATTTACAGCAGGACAAGAAACATCAGAGATGCTGATGGACTGGAGACAACTTGCAGCTGATGTGGACGTTCCAGGACAGGTAGCTCTAGAAGCACCTGCTTCTGTTGTTTCATGTTGAGTACTTGAGTACTGAGAAGATTTTGTGATGTTATTTTCTATCATTGTGTTTGACAAATGGTTAGCCAGTGGTGTGCATGCATCATAATGATCTTCAATACCTTTTATGGATGTAAATGCGAGGATTATTCTTCTCTCAGTGCATTGTTGACGAATTGTAGGTTGGACATCAATTACAGGAGTTGATGCCTTGCTGGAGAAAATACGGACACCACGACCTGACCAGTTAGCAAGTGCTAATGGCAGGAAATCAGCAACCTTATTGGTGAAATATCCATTCCTGCGAAGATGTTCCACTTCCAGTGAATAACTTTGCCATGTTTCCAGGTTGTTTTCCTCCACTTCAGCATAGAAATCAGAATAAGTGATGATATTATCATCAAGATGATCACACAGTTGTTTCCTCAGTTCACATTCACTCACATTAAGTTGAAGTGCAGAAGCCTTAAAAAAGCAATTTCCATCAGCCGGTACCTTCAGTAAATTGTATCCATTACAATGCAAAAGTTGTTCTTATCACTCCGTGTGAAACTTTTTCATTTTAGATTCATACATGTAGTTGGTATGACTTTCATGTAATGTCTTCAGAACAACAGTTTCCTCCAATTCCCCACTTGACCTTTCATGAAATTTGCTATGAACAATATTCTTCTGATTTGGTATTGACAATTCTGTTTCCGATTCTGTGGTGTCAGACGAGCATAAATCTTCTTCCTTCGGAAGGTACTCTTCTGATGATGTTTCGATGCTACTTTCAACATGTGTATGTCTATATTTCCCCAAATAAATTAAAGGTTCGTCATCAGAGATGTCAAATTCATTTTCATTTCCTCCCTCACTGGTATTACTGGGACGTGGCTCTATGTAGTCTTGAGGGGCTTTCATTTGCGTTGCCGACAAAGGATCTGGGTTGTCAGTAGTTTGTACCTGATTAGCATCCATGTTGGTTGCCGTCAATGGATCTGCGCTGTCAGTGGTTGGTAGCTGATCAGTTTCCATGTTGGTTGCCGCCAATGGATCTTCGTTGTCAGTGGTTGGTAATTGATTAGCTTCCATGTTGGTTGCCGTCAATGGACCTAGGTTGTCAGTGGTTGGTAACTGATTAGCTTCCATGTTGGTTGCCGCCAATGGAGCTAGGTTGTCAGTGGTTGGTAGATGATTAGCTTCCATGCTGGTTGCCGTCAATGGATCTGGGTTGTCAGTGGTTGGTAGCTGATTAGCATCTATGTTGGTTGCAGCCAATAGACCTATGTTGTCAGTTGTTGGTAGCTGATCAGCTTCCACGTTGGTTGCCGCAAATAGACCTATGTTGTCAGTTGTTGGTAGCTGATCAGTTTCCATGTCGGTTGATGCCAATGGACCTAAGTTGTCAGTGGTTGGTTGCGGATTTGGTTCCATGCTCGTTGCCGTCAATGGATCTGTGTTGTCAGTTGTTGGTAGCTCATTAGCATCCATGCTCGTTGCCGTCAATGGATCTGTGTTGGCAGTGGTTGGTAGCTGATTAGCATCCATGTTGGTTGCCGTCAATGGAACTGGGTTGGCAGTGGTTGGTAGCTGATTAGCATCCATGTTGGTTGCCGTCAATGGAACTGGGTTGTCAGTGGTTGGAAGCTGATTAGCATCCATGTTGGTTGCCATCAATGGATCTGGGTTGTCTGTGGTTAGTAGCGGATTTGGTTCCATGTTGGTGGGTGGTTGTGGCACATTATGGTGTAATATCTGATTGTTCTCGATAATATTGCAAGCTTCCAAAATGTCTTGATCTTCGAAGTCAGAATCAAACTCACTCATTTTCCAATGCCTATAGAAAGAAAACAAAAAACAAAAGAAAACAATACATAGCACTGGTCTTGAAATATTTGTGTATGTGACATTATTTCTCAATTTACAATCTAACTTCATGTATCATATATTTACTCTTATGTAAACTTTACATGTGTTTATCAACTGTTTATGAAAGATGTTTATGTTAAAAACACAAGTCTCACCCATGTCATTTACATACTATTTTATAGCAAAATTAACAAAAAATTTCCCTGCGATTATCTGAAAACAACCAAGAACAAACTAAAAGTTAACGAACACTGAATTGATAATGACTTAAACATAAAAATCGGTTATATAAATCATCAGACGTGTTGTTGCGTCGTAACTTTATAACAATATAAGAGATCAAATTTCAAAAATTAGTAAAATAACAGATAATTTAATTCAATTTACAGTTTTACTTACCTTAAACGTATTTATGTTGATGAAAATAATTTGGACTATGATATTTCCGTTGTAAGACGTTTGTGTAGTCGGGTTTATCTTCGACGCCAAGACCAAGTAATGACCACTAGTATAAGCTGACTAGAATTTAGCCCGGGGATCAGATATAAACATCCTGGGCCATAGAAGGCTAGCACCAGTTAACATCATCTGGTGCGGGGGAGCGCTTATCTCTAATCGTAAACACAAACAGCCAGCACATCTCAAATGCTTATCAGTTGTTACAGCTCTCCAATTAAAGGAGTCTGAAGCCTATATCAGAGTGCTAGAATGTGTCAATTCTCGATACGTTTTTCTGGCTTAATAGAATTGAGTGAAAACTTTAATGTTGTGTATATACCAGCATGTAGTATTTTAGTATAGAACATCCTGGCGCAACACGAGAACAGAGTTAGGTGATAAGATGTTTATGTCTTGTTGAATATCTTTTAAAATATACAATGTAGTACATAGATATTTTGGCGTAGGATTATATATGGTCATACAATGTTTTGAAAGTCATAAAGTCAATTTTAATATTTTACAAGACAATGTGTTCTGGCACGATATCAGGGAAAATTGATATTCGCAACAAAATCACAATCATTTTTTCACAGTACTTGCCCTTTAACATGCTCAAGATGATGATCCTAAAAAGTCAAATATTTGGCAAAACAAATATACATGTATATACACACATGATAACACAATAAATGCAATGTTGTCACCAAGTTAAAAGTCAACAGCTGATGACACTTACCAGTGGAGACAAGTTGTCGCTGTCGTCATACGGGAGATGAACGATGACAAGGCCTCTCCCTTCACTCTCACACAGACTCTTCAAACTGGGGGCGTACTCCTGCAGACATAACCACAGACAGGACTTACTCAGCCGATCATCGTGCAAGGGATCATAACACATGTTGTTCAAAACATGTCAAGAGACTCCAAATTCACTAAGGGTTGTCATGGTTATTAGTGTGTGAGGACCCCTGGCCATGCCGGGAAACCTGGCTAAAAAACACCTTCCGACCAATGTCAGAAACAAGCAAACCAAGCTGAACTAGCTACAAACATTTAATTATGTCACTGTCTAGTATGGTTTACGTCGCTTTTGGCAATATTACAGCAATATCAAGGCGGGCGACACCAGAAATGGGTTTCACACATTGTACCCATTTCGGGAATTGAACCCAGGTCGTCGGCGTGACAAGTGAACACTTTATCCACAAGGCTACCCGACCGCCCTGTCACTGTCTAGTAACATATAACATGTACACTACAAATCAGGGAAAAAATAAATTTAAAATAATATTTTCAGGCCAATCTCATTAAAATCAGATCTAAGTTCTTGCTGCCGCTAACCAAAGAACTGAGGACATCCCATTATGGGTCACGTCAAAATGACCTTTCGCGAACTTTTCCTGACCACTGAAATGACTAACAAGAAGTCGACATCAGCCAATTAGAAAGCAGCTTTCTCAAGCTTTACGGAACTCATTTCAACCTGGCGACTTCCATTTCAGACTATGCTTGAAAGATATGTTGACACAGATCTCGATTAAAATTAAAAACAAACGAACATTCTGGAATGTCTAATATATGGTTGAGATTATATGTCAGTGCTTCCACGTACTTTGCAACGCCTCCTCCGTTCAAATGTTTATCCCACGGAAGCAAGAGATAGACGATAATTTTGACAAAATCAGTCATACAGGCCGTAACTGTCATTCGGAATACCCCATGTTAAGGTTTTCAAGGTTGCATGATTAGAGAACACATTCCGACTGTCACTTTTATGATCTGGTAAGCGATGCTTCTGACGTGACCCATAATGGGATGTCCTCAGATCTTTGTTCAGCGATAGCGAGAACTAAGATCTGATTTTAATGAGATTGATTTTCAGGCTAAATATTTCATATTTCACCCAGCCATTATAAGTGTATTAAAACAAAAAATATGATCATGATCATACTAGTTCTGATTAACATGATTAAAACTATACTCTTTGGACATCTTTATATTTGCATTTATGTTACCTCAAGTGTAATTTTCATGAAGTTTAACCCTACATCAACCTTTACAACATTTGTACTTCTTCTGTTGTCATTCCCCACTCTAGGGGGTTGTCACTCCCTAAGCCCCTACTCCACCCGGAACCCAAAAGATCTGGGTCCGAATTGGTCTCCAGTAACCCTTACTTGTCATAAGAGGCAACTAATGGGATCGGGTGGTCAGACCCGCTGACTTGGTTGATGTATATCATTGTATCCCAATTGCATGGATTGATGCCCTTGATATCGATCACTGGATTGTCTGGTCAAGATTTGATTATTTACAGACCATCGTCATATAGCTGGAAATTTGCTGAGAGATGCGTTAAACAAACAAACAAACAAACTTATCTACCTTTGCCAGGAGCTCGACCTCAGTGTGCATGTTGCTTGGTGCGGAGATGTAGAGACGGCACACGCTGCTGATGCTGTGGTCGGGGATGGTGGGGATCACCTGGGTCAGGTTGGCCAGGGCGGTGCTCCAGTCATCTGGTCAACCATGCATGTACCATGTGTAACATCAGTGAGATATAAGGAGGTTTTGTTACTGGTTTCTTAATCTCTCACTATTTCACAAAACATCTTACTTCATGTTGTTGGAAACTCAAATAAGCCTGTACAAGTGCATATATGTTATGAAAATAACAGTCAAAAGTATATTCAGGTATCTATCTTCAAGACCTAGACCTGCTCAGAGGCCAAAATTCAGCTTCAAGTCTGCAGCAAATGTCAGTAAAAATTCCCAATTTGTAATTACAAGTTCATAATTCATGTTATATAGGAATGGCTAATTTTGTTTACTCTGTAGAAGTGACTTGTATTTCACTAGCCAAATTGAAGAAAATTGCCTGCCAAATGGGTTTCACCTTAATTTTGTTTGGACTGGGATTTTCATGTGTCCAAGAAAAGCATGGGTAGAATTCCAACGAAGTCAAAGATCTAAATACCAAATCCTGGATAAATCCCTGACATGGAAATAATTTCACCATTGGAACGAGTGAAAATTAAAAATCATATTGGCTACTTTTCAGCCATATTGTAACTCACCATTTGATGTCAAAGAAGCTATTTGCATGACAAGGTGACACAATTTTATGGATAACAACTTCTTTAATACTGCAAAGAGCGACGTTTCGGTATAGATCTTTATACCGTTGTCAAGCAAGACTGACAGTCTAGTTATCCATAAAATTGTGTCACCTCGTCATCCATCAACTTCTCAGTAATGCCTATCAAACAATTTCATGTGTCTAAGAAAAGCATGGGTAGAATTCCAACGAAGTCAAAGATCTAAATACCAAATCCTGGATAAATCCCTGACATGGAAATAATTTCACCATTGGAACGAGTGAAAATTAAAAATCATATTGGCTACTTTTCAGCCATATTGTAACTCACCATTTGATGTCAAAGAAGCTATTTGCATGACAAGGTGACACAATTTTATGGATAACAACTTCTTTAATACTGCAAAGAGCGACGTTTCGGTATAGATCTTTATACCGTTGTCAAGCAAGACTGACAGTCTAGTTATCCATAAAATTGTGTCACCTCGTCATCCATCAACTTCTCAGTAATGCCTATCAAACAATTTCATGTGTCTAAGAAAAGCATGGGTAGAATTCCAACGAAGTCAAAGATCTAAATACCAAACTAGACAAATGCATCTATCGACTACCAGATATGAATTTCCGTTGTTGCAATCAAATTATATATCAACATATGTGAGAGTATCTCTACTAGGGTATGCTAACTAGCCAACAAGACCACTTTTTAAAATAAAGTAATCCTTCTGCTCAAGGACCTGCACTGCAGACAAGTCAACCCTGAGTAGGAATACATCTACACGTATGGCTTGTTTTTGTTGGAAAGATATCATCAAAAGCCACAAGCTTGGTTTGTTTGTTTATTTGTCGTTTAACGCCGCACTCAGCAATATTCCAGCTACATGACGGCGGTCTGTAAATAATCGAGTCTGGACCAGACAATCCAGTGATTGTTATCATGAGCATCGATCCACACAATTGGGATACGATAGCATGCATCAACCATGTCAGCGAGCCTTACAACCCGAACCCATTTCGTCGCCTCTTACAACAAGCATAGTCACCTTTTACGGCAAGCATGGGTTGCTGAAGAGCTATTCTACCCCGGATCTTCACAAGCTAGGGGGGACAGTTTTGAAGCGCCAACTGACCTTTATTAACGTTTGTAAAGGGTCCCTCCAGCTCCATGACGCTGTTGGCAAACTCCGGCCCGCGGAGAAAGGCTGGTTGGTGGAGCTGCACGGTGCTACCCAGGGAGGGCTCACTCTCCAGGGCCGTCCACCAGTCCCCGGGGTTCGAGTTACCTTCACAACACATCAATAATACTTCAGGCTTTTCACTTTACTTGTTGCTCTACAGATTGTTTCTCTCAAAACTTGGTGAGGTGAGGTGAGGTGAGGTGAAATGGGTTTTAACGTCGCGTCCAAGATTATTGCAATTATATAGCGACGTGCATGCATGTGTATATGTGTGTGTGTGGCTGCTTGTACTAGTCCGGACTGATGCTGATTTATAGTGACTAGTTCACTGAGATACCATGCCGCAGTTTAACATGAATACCCCACTCAGACACAGTATACTGACTCCGAGCCGACCAGTCCGTGTTTTAGCCCCTTAATGCCGAGCGCCAGACAGGGTAACAACAAGTACCATCTTCTAATGTCTTTTGGTATGACGCGGCCTGGGATTGAACCCCGGACCTTCCGCTCTCCGGGCGGACGCTCTACCACTAGACCACGGAGGCGGTCCCTCAAAACTTGGGGTTGGTGAATGATGTTTTTTTTCAATTTGTGTTAAACCTTTCAATTATTGGAGAGAGTAGGAATAATGAATGGGATGAGTTGGATGGATATATAGAATTATTATTTCAATATCTCTGTTTTTCATTTGACAGTTTTGTGAAATGTGACATGTTTGTTTGTTTGTTGTTTAAAGCTGCACTCAGCAATATTCCAGCTATATGACGTGGTCTGTAAATAATCTAGTCTGGACCAGACAATCCAGTGATTTATATCATGCGCATCGATCTACGCAATTAGGATTGATGACATGAATCAACCAAGTCAGCGAGCCTGACCACCCCATCCCTCTTATGACAAGCATAGTCGCCTGTTATGGCAAGCATGGGTTGCTAAAAACCTATTCTACCCCGGATCTTCACGGGTCGAAATGTGACATGAAATTGTATATATACAGTTCATTTGTGAAAATCATAATGTGACGTATTGTTTTTTCATAAGAATGAACTCAAAGAGTATAAACCTGATAAACCAGATTCACTCACTCATTCAGTGAATTAGTGTTGTTGGGTGCCATTTTTAGCACTATTTCTGCAATATAACTACACAGATAAGAGGTAGAAACTAACAGTTTTAGTCCACAAGTCCTTATAATGATAACATACAGAAAAACCCTTAAAAACGTCAAATTTCTACTAGTCCTTATGATACATTAACTATTGGGCAGTTAGGTAAGGACTATAGGCCTAGTTCCAATTTCTAACGCTGTAGATGCCCGAAATTGGCTTCACACATTGTACACATGTGGGGAATTAAACCTGGGCCTTAATCATGATGACAAATGTTTTAACCACAAGGGTATCTCACCACCCCACCCACCTATAGAGGTTTCCTCCGATCTGGATGCAGTGTCGAGATCTTCTGGTGTGAAGCCGTGGGACAGTTTTGTTAATCGACTCTCCAGTTCTCGTTTGGCTCGAAGAAGATTTTGAATTTCATTCTCCTTTGTTTCTCGAAATATCTGAATATTAGAAAAAATACCATACTGCATTCACATCATTAATAATCATCAATGTCAGGCTGTTGTTTTTCTTCAACAAAAACTATGTCTAAATACGCTAGAAGTAAGAGTCTTATCACAATGATTCCTCTCAAACTGATTTAGTAAATACAAACATAATAATCATAAACATGCACTTGATGGAGTGGTTGAAACATATACTACTCAAAAGAAGTTAAGGATCACCCATTTTTTTCATTACTATAGTTACTCTACCATGGTTGGTTGGTTTGTTGTTTAATGCTGCACTCAGCAATATTCCAGCTATATGACGGCAGGCTGTAAATAATCGAGTCTGGACCAGACAATCCAGTGATTAATATCATGAGCATCGATCCACGCAATTGGGATCAATGACATGCCTCAACCAAGTCAGCGAGCCTGACCACCTGATCCCGTTAGTCGCCTCTTACAACAAGCATAGTTGCCTTTTACGGCAAGCAAGGGTTGCTGAAGACCTACCCTACCCCAGATCCTCAACTCTACCATGGCATCATGTCAGATTTACTAAAATAATTTTAAGAATCGGATGGTCCTTAACTTCTGTTGAGTAGTATATTTCTGTTTGCTGCTTTGGCAGAATTGGTAGAATTGCTGGTTTGTGAGCGTGTAAAAAGGCTTGACGAAGAGTTTATTTCTTTGAAACTGCTTGACATCACAAAGAGAAGTATATGTATGTTGGTAAGTTTCAGTTTTGATACAAAACCAAAGTGATGCATGTTATATGATGTTGTTTGAGAACAACAGTTAACAAACTAAACATGAGGGATTTTGTATAAACTGGTAATCATGATGGCAAAAACTTTGAATATAGCTATCAACAAAACTCAGCACAGCTATCAGCATATCTCAGCATAGCTATTAGCATAACTTGGCACAGCTATCAGCAAAACTCAGCATAGCTATCAGCATTACTCAGCATAGCTATCAGCATAGCCACGATCATAACTCAGCACAGATATGATCATAACTCAGGATAGCCACAAGCATAACTCAGCACAGATATGATCATAACTCAGCATAGCTATCAGCATAACTCAACATAGCTATCAGCATAACTCAGCATAGTTATCAGCATAACTCAGCATAGTTATCAGCATAACTCAGCATAGCTATCAGCATAACTCAGCATAGCTATCAGCATAACTCAACATAGCTATCAGCATAACTCAGCATAGTTATCAGCATAACTCAGCATAGTTATCAGCATAACTCAGCATAGCTGTCAGCATAACTCAGCATAGCTACCAGCATAACTCTGCAGAGCTATCAGCATAACTCAGCATAGCTATCAGCATAACTCAACATAGCTATCAGCATAACTCTGCATAGTTATCAGCATAACTCAGCATAACTCAGCATAGCTGTCAGCATAACTCAGCATAACTCAGCATAGCTATCAGAATAGCTGTCAGCATAGCTATCAGCATAGCTATCAGCATAACTCAGCATAACTATCAGAATAGCTGTCAGCATAATTCAACATAGCTATCAGCATAGCTATCAGCATAACTCAGCATAGCTGTCAGCATAGCTATCAGCATAGCTATCAGCATACTCAGCATAGCTATCAGCATTACTCAGCATAGCTATCAGCATTACTTGGCATAGCTATCAGCATAACTCGGCATAGCTATCAGCATAACTCAGCATAGCTATCAGCATAACTCAGCATGGCTATCAGCATTACCCAGCATGGCATCAGTATGATACAGAAACAATCCAATGATCATGATTAATATGAATTCCAGCAATTTTGTGCTTCAACATGTTCAGGACTACAATAAATTAACGTGGGACATAACATTACACAACAGGCATTTGGCACCTTGAACTGCCGTTGTACTTTGTCTCTATCACTTTCAAAAGCCGAAGCCCGTGCCAGCGCCTGCATCTCTGCATCCAGACAGCTTTCCTTCTCGTTCCGGAGTTTGGTACAAGTGTTCTGCAGCGCCAATAGTTCCGATCTCATTCTCTTGTTTTCCATCTCTAGCTTTTGTTCTTTCTTCTGCATGGCCATAATTTCATTATCTTTGTTGAGCTTGTACATATCAAAGTCCTTTTTGATTCTATCGACCTCTGGGTTTTCCAGATCGATGGACAGAGCTGAGCGTAGACTCCCTCCTTTAGATTTCTTCCCAAATGAAGTGACGCTTCGGAGAGGTCCGAGTTTACCTCGAGGCTTGATCTCAATGGGGATTCTTTTAATGACCCCATTTCCATCAAGGTCAGTGCCAAGTATGTCGTCATCATCCTGACCTCGAAGGAATGAGCCCCCAACACCCATTCTACAGGTCTGAAAAAAAGGACAAATATTAAACTGCACAAAATATTTTTCACAAAGTTTCTTTTGCAGTAATTCAACTACTAGTGGGGTAAATTGATCTTGTATGATATATATTAATAACATAAATGGCATTCTAGCATTCAATATAACAAGTAATTACTCACTATGTATTACAAAAATTAACAGATTAATATCATGAATATATTACCATCATGAAGAATAAACTCGATGACATAATCCATTACATCTGAAATCTGCATCTTTTTTACTATTAGAAGTGTCAGTCTTCATTTTGCAAAACACAATAAAAATCAACTTTAAACATCTTACAATAACAATACTAAGTCCATTTTCTTATTTGTAATGATATGAGAATAATAAAAAGTGATGTTCAGTAAAGTATGATGATGATGAACATGTCTAATTTTTCACAAACCTAAATGAACTCTCTCTGAGACTTTCTGCTGTGTGCATACGAGCAATGCAGCTGATTGCAACTGCAGCTCCATGTCAGTGACTACTGCCGAAAATATCACGCACGTCCTTTACAATCCTGTAAAAATAGAAACAGGAGGAAAGTGTTAAGTCTTCTGGAGCCTTAGGAGTTCATTTTTTAACAGATGGGTACTGAGGAATGATGAATGTATAGAACAGCACAACCATGGATGTACAACAAACACTCTTGTCATTTTGTATCTTGTATACAGGTAACAGGTCATTTTGTTTCTTGTATACGGGTAACAGGTCATTTTGTATCTTGTATACAGGTAACAGGTCATTTTGTATCTTGTATACGGGTAACAGGTCATTTTGTTTCTTGTATACGGGTAACAAGTCATTTTGTATCTTGTATACGGGTAATAGGTCATTTTATATCTTGTATACAGGTAACAGGTCATTTTGTATCTTGCATACATGTAACAGGTCATTTCGTATCTTGCATACAGGTAACAGGTCATTTTGTTTCTTGCATACAGGTAACAGGTCATTTTGTATCTTGTATGCAGGCATCAGGTCATTTTGTATCTTGGTAGGTTTGTAAAGCTAGGGGATTGGTATCCCTGGGTAATTCAGTATTTTGTTCATACGACAATGTAAATCGTAATAAATGGATTTGAGTCCACTACTTTGGTAGAGGGCATTTTTCAAAGAACAGGAATTTCCGTTAGCATCTGATAATAAATGTCGACTTGACTTATTAGAATATACTAAGTGGTTCACATTATAGTAGGCCTAACATTAAACAAGCGAGGGTGAACGGTGACCATTGATTCAAGTGGAACACATTCTGACACATTTGATTGAAATGTTTCAGGTAATTATTCAATATATCTTGATTTTTTCATACGATAACATATCATCAATCAAACCATAAATTCACCTTGGCATGTTGCCGATCACTTCCTTACGATGACACCGTGACAAACCAGAAATCACGAGAGAGTTCCCAATCTGACATTGTTTACATCTTTTACCGGAAGTGCCATGGACGCTAATATATAAAGGGGAAGTTACTCTGAACACGTATCCCTGCGGCTAAGAGTGTATGAAGCGTTCATACAATCTAACTTTAACCACAGGCATAAAGATATGGCCGAGATCTGCGTTTCTGTGTATTTGACGATATAAGGAGTGAGTGAGTGAGTGAGTTTGAGTAACGCCGCTATTAACAGTATTCCAGTTATATCGCGGCGTGTCAGCTTAATGTGGGAGGAAAGCCCGAAGTGATGCAGGTCTCAGACGTTTACCACTTCTGGGAAAACCCACGAGCACGGGTATGGTGCTGACAAACCTAGAAACATAATTGGGGCGAACCGGGATTCGAACCCACAATCATAGGTTTCTGGTGTGCCCAGGGGACGCAACTCTGCACAGCGAATCGCGGCGCCTTAGACGACTGGGCCACCCGTGCCCCCGACGATATAAGGAGCATGGTCTGAGGCCTGTGTGGTCCTTAAAACTAAACTCAGAAGAAGTCAACATATTCACTTAATATATACCATCTATGTACCAAAAGTTTTGGGAGACGTGCCAATGCGCGTTACCATTTTTAAACAGAAAGCCTGTAGCCAGACACGTAATATAATAATGCTGACTGGCACTCCCTTGTATTTTGTTTACATTGACCAATATTCAGGACTAAAGTCCAAGTCGGATCAGATAAAAAGATTGCTTGAGTATGCTCAAACCAGGGTAACCCCTAAACCATATCTAACAAGTATCGTCGGATCAAAAAGAATATTATTAATGTTGATAATATATAAGAAATTTTGTCCCAACTATTATGGCTTAACCACAACTTCAAACAAGCAACATACTGCATAAAGCAATGGGCTAATAGTGGAATTTACTCAATTAAAGATATATGCAATGAAATGATGTCATTTGAAGAACTGAAACTAGAAAATTAATTTTACAGAATTTGTATACAACAGTTGCTTAAGTGATCTGATGAAGCCTGTAAAAGGCGCTGGACTCTTTTATGATAAGTTAATATCAAATTAAAATAATCTTAAGGTTTGTGATAAATGGCAATCAATTTTGCAGTGAGATGTTAATTGGAAAACGATATTTACCGTTTATAGATATAAACTGAAGGATGTAAAAGTTTTAGATTTTCAATACAGATTTCTACATGGAATTATCTACATAAAGAAGGAACTATTAACAATGAATCTTGTTGACAATAGTGTTTGTAGTTTTTGTAATGCTGTCAATGAGGACGTCAGCCATGTCTTTTTGGAATGTAATGAAACCAAACAATTTTGGAATGATCTCGAACTTTGGCTTCATAATTATCTTGCACAAAAAATTAAATTGACAAAATATCTTATTTGGTTTGGTTCAAACTACACTAATACTTTAATCAATCATATAATTTTATTGGGAAAATGGCACATTCATGTAAGTGGAATTAAAGGAACCAAACCGAAATTAGATATACTTTAATTTAAAACTATTTAAAAACATATATTCAATCGAAAGGATGACAAAATAACTTTAACAAAAAATGGCCACCTTTATTCTCAGCATTTGATTCTTAGCTCTCTGTTGATACATGATACGTTTGAGTCTGATTGTGGGTTGCATCCGTTTTAGTTTGAAATAGAACAATCTTTGTTTCCAACCCTTTAATTTTTTAAAGAGTGTATTGTGCCATTATATGCAATCGGAAATATGTCTTTGACGGAATACTGTATTAATCTACAACTCTGGGAACAATAAAAAAAGGTTTTTTGAAAAAAGAAAGACATGTATCGTCGGATCGAAGGTTTCCGGACATCAAACGTTTTCGGAATGTCATGTTTATCGCGATTAATCGCGCTATAAAAGGGATTGTAGCATCACATACACATTTTAAATACTAAGATGATGGCTTGGTTTTTGTTAGAGAAAGTTGTCTTTTAAAAGTGAATGAGGTGTTTTACAGTTGTTCATGTGATTAAAGAGAAAACTACAATGTTTCGTGAGCGTCCGAAAACCCATAACACGGGGATATATATTATATGTAATCCTTTTTTTCACATCGTTGTTACGGTATATATAACATACCTCACCTTCTTAAATTGCCATCCAGGAACGATAAAGGAAACAAACGAAGAAATAACTATCCACCAACAAATATGGCACGCATTGAGAGGGGCGTTATTGGATCCGTAAATAAGAACGTATCACGTCAAAAAGTTTCACAACCATCCAAATGTGTATTATTATCTTATTATCTACATCACTCGGCGTGTTCGTTTTGGAAATAAGTCAAATCAAACTGGAAGAATGAAAACAAGCAGCTTTTAAACGTCAGTCAGTGTAAACAATTATTTTTTTTCTTATATTTCGTTACTGTATCCTTAAAAGAGTAAACTAGCCTAAACTATTTGCATAAACCTTTATAACAATGCTGAGAAGAATACTCCTTAAAAAAATGTCTCGTCAATATGTTGTAAGAAAATAAAGATGACAGAATATGATGAAGTGCAAGCATTCATCAAACTGTCACTAAAATGTTCACAACAGCGATCTCACCAACACAACGCGGTAGAAATAAACTCGGTTGACATGACAACAGAGAACAGCTGATTTCTGTACTATGTGCGGGGTATGTAAGCAGACCAATGTCTAATGTATGGCAGTGAATATACGTCTACATGACGTGCACTCCACTTCGTCATTGTCGGCCGTCATGTCTTTCCTGTTTACACGAGCGTCAAGGTCGGCAGGTATTTGATATCTTATTGTGGCCAGTTGACCGACTTTTTTAAAAAAACACCATAACAAGATGTACTGGCTGACGAACTGACTGTAATAGAATTGAAGATTTATTTTTAAAATATTTCTACAAATATTAACAGAACGATATATTCACACACCTGTTCATATGGTCTAAGCGAATGGCGCTGGTGAGATTGATTAAGGTGAGGTGAAATGGGGATTGATGTCGCGTTCAAGATTATTTTTGCACTTATATAGCGATGTGTGTGTGTGTGTGTGTGTGTGTGTGTGTGTGTGTGTGTGTACTACATCCCATTGAGATCCGATGCCGCATTTTAACATGAATACCCCACTCAGACACAGTATACTGACTCCGAGGCGACTAGTCCTTGTTTTAAACCCTAAATGCCGAGACCCAAACAGGGTAACATCAGGTACCATCTTTTATGTCTTTTGGTATGACGAGGCCGGGGATCGAACCACCTTCCGCTCTCCGGGCGAACGCACTACCACTGGACCACGGAGGCGTTCTAGGTTGGTTAAAACATCACCGCTGCAAAATGCCTCGGGAAGAAGGGTGAGGCGAAACGGGGCTTAACTTCGCGTTCAAGATTATTATTACGCTTGCATAGCGATGTACATTTGCGTATGCTTGTGTTTCTGCTTGTACTAGCCTATAGTGCTAGCTCAGTGACATACCATGCCGCAGTTTAACATGAATACCCCACTCAGACACAGTATACTGATTCCTAGCCGACCAGACCTTGTTTTATCACCATATTGCCGAGCTCCATCTATTAACGTGTTTGGCTCTGACGCGGCCGGGGTTAGAACCACCGACCTTCCGCTCTCGGGCAGACGCTCTATCCAGAGTATGAACGGGTGGGAATCGAACCTCTTTTATCAACGTCCGAAATACCTTAAAGGAGATGGATTGTCCCTCATCGAATTTACTTTAAAGTACCTCAAATTCTGTCCTCAAGTATGTGATGTTATTCATCACGCAAAGCGCAAACTGACGGTTATAAACATATCCGTTTCTTCAATGGCCAAGAATTATTGTAGTCGAATCACTAGTCTGTCTCACAGTCCCTAAACCATATTATTTTCCCTTACGCTCCAGTGCTTTGCAGCATATACCGCCATACATATTAACAGCGTCACTTGTGTCAGGAGGCGACGTATAGGTTCCCCACGAGTGTCGTTGACCTCCAATCTCCGAGACAGTAATGAATTAACCGTGTCCTGTGGGACTATATCTGATGGACCAGCAGCAAGCACAGGTTAATACACTGGGGAATAAGGAAGGGCGTATGGCGTCTTATAATAGCTTATAAAGACGGACATATATTTCATGTACGTCTACCCAGAATTTATTAATAAAAATTAATAAATGACAGCATACATCTGAGCCCGCTAATAGCCATAATACACCAGGGTGGTGAGGCCGCTTCAAAGCATAATATGTGTTATTATGATTCGATAGACTGACGCTTAGTCTCTGAACAAAATATTATTAATAGACGCAAGTAACTCCATTTAAATTGAAAAGGAGCCCCGGTGAGATAGAAGAATCATGGAAATCTAGACTTGCTTCATTTAGGGTCTTTGCATTACAGAAAAGGATGGGCGGAAGGGAAAATAATATGGTTTAGGGACTGTGAGACAGACTAGTGATTCGACTACAACATTTCTTGGGCATATATTTGTAACCGACAATTTGCTGTTTGCGTGAGGAATAACATCAAATACTTGAGGACAGAATTTGAGGTACTTTAAAGTATAATTCGATGAGGGACACCCCATCTCCTTTAAGGTGTTTCGGACGTTGATAAAAGAGGTTCGATTCCCACCCGTTCATACTTCGGATAGAGCGTCAGCCCGAGAGCGGAAGGTCTGTGGTTCGATCCCCGGCCGCGTCTTTGCCAAAAACGTTAATAGATGGAGCTCGTTGTAGTTGCTTCCAACAAAATGGCGGCGCCAAGTCAAGACGATCTGATCGGTAATCAAGATCTATATTGTAATAAAACCAGAAGCCAACATGTCTGGTCCGAATTCAAGATTCGCACTGTTTCTAGTTTTGTCAACACAGTCCCCGTGCTCGCGGGGTTACAAACGCTGCAAACCTCCAATACCTACATCACTTCGGGATTTCCCCCAACTTCAAGTTGACACGCTGTGATATAAACTGAAATATTCTTCAAAGAGGCGTGAACACAACTCACTTACACACTTAGACACACTGTCTGATCTTCAAAAGACATGTTATGTCTGTAATCAAATACCAA